GCAATGTAATCCGCAAGTTACCGTGAAATATTTGCACAGCATCTCGCAGGTCTCCTTGAACTCCGGAGATTTCTTGCCATTCTGCAGGCATTCCTCCATGAACTCATCTGCAGAGCAGGAGCTCTCTGTGTCTTCAGAGGTCGACAAGCTGTCCCTGATACAAACCACAAACACTGGGAAGATTGTCTTGTAGTTGACTTCCTCCTGGTCGTCGCAGGCGCTTGGACTCCCGTGGACCTTCATATTCACGTGCTCGGCCATGTTCGAAACGAAGCTGAACGTTGGTGGCGTTAAGGCTTCACCTGCATGGCGGAGCTTTTAGCTTTGCTCCTCCATGCCACCTGCATCACTCACAGTGGATGCTACAGAGCCTGTGGCGTCATTCACAAGAGAAGCCCTTTGTGCGCCGGTGTCATGAACCTAAGTTTGCCAAATTTGAAAATTACACTGAAAATGACTGAATTAGAAAAATTGGGTTGATGCAAAGCAGTCATCACCCCTGCTGGTATTACTAATGGTGAAGCTTACTCTAGTAAATCAGACTTATTCTGGTTTCTTGAGTTCTCACCTGGTTAAATAAAATCAACTTGAACTTGAACCTGCTCTCATAAGGTATACATTACATCTTATATATAAAAGTCTCCGCGCTCTCGCGCTTGCGGGGGATTTAGCTCTTGGACGGTGGCGTTTACGACCAAAATTTTTCGCCAGGCAGCACGCCCTAAGCAACGCGGTGGGAATAGGCTCTTCCGTTTTCTCATCCGTAAACTTTAAAGTGGTTTACTTAACAAATTTGTGGCATTCTTTTTTTCATGATTTACTTATTGCACGACATCGACCGTACCAACTGACGCAAATTGCCTGGGGGTGGCGGACTCTGCCAAGTGATGCGCCTTCGATCCAGCTCACGGGGGACATTTCATTTTACGCGTTTAAAATGCAATAAATATACACTTCACGCTGCGAAGTTTTCACCACAGTCTGATGTCCTCTTCGCCCCCCCCCGCCAAACACGATGTGTCCAGTTTCTACTACAGAGTTAGTAGATAATAATAATATACTGCTTAGATATCATTATTCTTGCACGGGTGGGGGGATGGGTGTGGGGGTAGTGGCCCTGCCCCCAGCCTGCCAACGTGCCACCTCCACTGCCTCGGCAATCTAGGCCAGGACGGGGGCTCCGCACGAGCCTAGGCCTGACCAAGCCTATGGCAAGTACAAATTTCCTTGCTTCTTACGCTAAGAACTCAGGTTCATTGTTTACTATTATTAAACAAATAAGTTGGCAAATATTACTACCAGACAGTCTCGTCCCTTCACCTGATGAAGGCCGCTTGTGTTGTGGCCGAAACGTCGTGAGAATATTATTGTGTTATTTTATTTTATCAATTTATCATTTTATTCTCATTCTACGTGACTTTACCGAAAGAACCAAAGAAGAAGAAAAATATTACTGTCGTAATGTTTGTGTGCAGATAAGAACTAATGTGCATTGTTTACTACTATGAAACTAATAAGTTGGCATAAATTACAATAATTGTGTGCAGATAAGAACTCAGGTACATTGTTTACGATTATGAAACAAATACGTTGCCAGATATTTACAATAATAATCTGTGTGCACAAAACTACTTTTTCATTATTAGGTTGATAAACATTCCCTTTTTTAGCTGTGCTTTTATCACGCTGTGGCGGTCTATTGCCAGTCTGTCATGTGCTCTGCTGCCTGCTGATTAATCAACGGCAGTGCACTGCCACTATTGTCTACACTGTTAATTTACCTTTTGACCATTCTCAGTGTATGCCAGTCTATAATCTGTTGCCTGCTTCTTTACCTCACTCAGTGTACTGCCAGCCTTTCATGTCGACTGTATTCTGCTTTTTCAGCTGATGCCCTTATTGCCAGCTTTTTATGTCGACTGCAGCAATGCTTATGTCATTGAGTCAGCGTACTGGCAGTCTATAATCTAGACTGTAGCCTGCTTCTCAACTTACCTGTGCGTGCTGCTGCTCTTTAATTTACACTCATTTCTGCTTATTTCTTCAATGCATTTCTATTGTTTCGATTGCTCACATCACGCTATTTACTCATACGTAGTACTGCGATACTGATAGCTGTGCCATCATCGGGGATTGCTGTGCACGTCGATGTGTGTGTGTGTGCGAGTCCATGTGTGTGTGTGTTTGAGTCTATATGTGTGCGTGTGTAGGTCTATGCGTGTGTTTAAGTCCATGTGTGTGTCTGTCTTTTACGATTGGACAATGCCCGATGTGTGTGTGTACATCCAAGTGTTTGTGTGTACGTCCAAGTGTTTGTGTGTCAGTCCATTTGTGTGCGTATCAGTAGCTGTGTGTGTGTTAGTGGATGTGTGTGCATGGCTCCATCTGAGTGTGTAAGTCAATGTGCATTTGTGTGTCTATGCGTGTCAGTCGATGTGTGCGTGTACGTAGATGTGTGTGTGTCAGTCCATATGTGTGTTTGTTAGTTCACGTGTGTGTAAGTCCATACATGTGTGTGTGTCACTCGATGTGTGTGTGTAAGTCAATGCGTGTGTGAGTCGATGTGCGTGTGTGTGTCGCTGTATGTGTCTACGTCCATATATGTGTGTGTAACTCCATGTGTGTGTATCCAAAGTGGATATATATATGCATGTGTGAGTCCATATGTGTGTGTGTGTAAGTCCATGTGTTTGTGTGTTAGTCGCTTTGTGTCCGTGACTCGGTGTGAGTCCGTGTAAGTCCATTTCTTTGCGTGTCTGTAGGTCCATGTGTGCGTGTGAGTGAATGTGTGTGCTTTATTGACCTGGTCAAGGCCTATGATACCATCAGTAGGCCTGGCCTCTGGGTTGTTCTTCATGCTTTCGGAGTTCCTCACCCTTTGCTCACGATCCTTAAGGACCTTCATGATGGTGAGCGGCTCCGCATCAAACTACGTGGCTGTCAGTCAGAGCCATTCCCTCTACACCTTGGGGTGCGACAGGGATGTCCTTTGGCTCCCACATTATTTAACATATCTTTTGACCATGTAGTTCGTGAAGACTTCAATGGCTGTACCGGAGGAATTATCATATGGTACAGATACAATGGGAGGCTGATCGATGCCTGGGTGTGGTCAAGGGATGGCTCCCTATTGATCAACCATGTTATGTATGCCGATGCTCTAGTGATTGCTGCTCACTCAGAGGAGGACTTGGAGGCACTGCTGCTGAACCTGGAGCTTGGCACTAAGAGGTGGGACCTTACCATCAGCCCCATCAAATCTAAGCACTTGGCTGGGTATTTTGGTACCATCGGACAATCCACCCCCACAACTCACAATTGCTGATGCGGCAGTTGTGGAGAGATTGGAGAGATTCCCATACCTGACCAGTGTGCTCATGACCAGCTCCAGTTTAACACCAGAGGTCTCACTCCAAATCAGTCGAGCGCCATTAACTTTTCATCGGCTGCGTTAAGCTGTGTGGAAGCTACCTGGTCTCTCGCTCTGCATGAAGCTCCAGGTCTTCTCGGCCACGGTAATTCCCTACCTTCTCTACGCTTGCGAAACGTGCACCCACCTAATGGAACATCTTCGCTGATTAGAAACATTTAGGCTGGCCTGCTAACGATCCACCCTGGGTTTAACCATATGTGTGTGTGTGTGTGCGTCTAAGTCTATGTGTTTCTATGTGTGTGGGTCGATGTCTGTGTGTAAGTCCATGTGTGTGTCTGCATTTTTCGCCCGGGCAACGCCGGGTACTTCCCGCTAGTCTGTAAATATATTAACTGTCAGTGCCAGTATGGGCTCTCTGCCTACTTGATGCCATTTACCTTTATCCCTGCCACTGTAATCCCTTTGGATCTCCTTTCCTCCTCTTATTCTCTTTCATCGTTTCAGTGGCTGTACTGCCACCGAACGGCGACTCCACTGCTGGAGAGGCAGGGTTCATCCGCATCAGTCATCAACAAATTACATAGAGTCTCACTATCGTGTCGTGGATTCCCTCAGGTGTGTGCTCAACACAATCATCAACAGGATTGTAATACAAAATATCTGTTAACCATTTACACACTTGTGGACTTTGTTGTAAGCATTGAGTTTATGACTCCAGAGTTGGGGGCCAAGGTCCACACGCAGGCTTATTACAGCGTGCTGTCTAGACCGTGTCAATCCGCGGGATGTTTTGTTGAGAGTTATGTGAGTTCTTCTTTGGTTCTTTCGGTAAAGTCACGTAGAATGAGAATAAAATAATAAATTGATATTTTATTCTCATTCTACGTGACTTTACCGAAAGAACCAAAGAAGATGAATCCTTGCAGTCACGAAAGCTTTAAATCGAAAGTTATCTGAGTTGTTACTTGTGGGCGCAATTGGTTTTTGAGGTTCATCCCCCTTTATTGATCCACAGATTGCCTACGGTCTCACTATCCTGTGTTGTGGGTGGTTTTTTGACCCTTCAGAAGGGAATTCTGTGAGTTGTCTTTATGCGGTGGTTGCTTGTCGGAAACAATGGACGAGGTGAAGCCACTCATAACTCGTGATTTGTGGATGCCAATCGGCCTCCTTGAGGCACGAACACGTGCTTGTCCATAGAAGTCAAAGTTTAATAAAAGGGTTTTTCCCCTTTTTTCTGGCAACAAAACTGAAACCTTTTTACAAGGAATCATGTGTGCATTAACCGTAATACTTGAGGTCAAAATGCAAAACAAACACACTTTGATAATATATGCATTGTCCTTGAAACTGATTGGTCCTCACCAGAGATGGCTTTCTTTTGAGCCTCATCTCAATTGGTGCTAGACCAGAAGACGCTATCTCTGGTGTGGACCAATCAGTTTCAAGGACAATTAATATATTATCAGAGTGTGTTTTTTTGCATTTTGACCACAAGTATTGTGGTTAATGCACACATGATTCCTTTGAAAAAAGGTTTCAGTTTTGTTGCCAGAAAAAAGGGGAAAAATCCTATTATTATATTTTGGTACTGGCAAAGGAGGTCTATTGATGTAGAAGTCAAAGTTTGCTACTGGGGTTGCAAGGATGTGGGGATGTAGGTCACCAGCATTTTTCTACGTCTCAACTTAAGCATAATAGGCTGAACTCCTTGTCATTGAGTATTTTCCTGATTTCCATGGACTTTTTATTAAGTTACATAACATTTCAGTGAGGGAATATTTGTTGATTTTAGATGGGGTTTTTTGGGCTTATGTGGCCAACAAGTCGTTTCTTCTTTATAGGCGGTGGATACTGTCCCCACAAACTCTACTCGTTTCTCAGTTGTAACTGTTGGTTTGAAACATATCTCCTTTACTGCATGTGCAAAGGTCTTTGAAATTACCCCCTACCTCTCATAAACGCTATCACGTCAACCACTCACGGAAGCTGAACCTAAACACCACATTCAACGTTCATCATCAGCAGCGCGAGGCGATTCTGATGCTCCATGGACGCTCACATCTACAAGGAAATAAATCACAACCAAGTTCGCTCTTAACAACTGTTTATGCAAAGCCAAGGGACAGGGAGGTCAATGAGTTCGAGACTTGGGTTTTGAGCGGGACGAGTACTGGACATTGGATGTGGGAGTCTGAAAGTCTGTGGCGAGGAGAGGGGAGCATCATGACCTCGCGAATGAACCCAGCAGTGCTCATGATGGGAGCAAAACTCCTGCTCATGGTGAGGACGACCTCGCACATTCTCTAATTAATTTGTTAATTAAAGGGTTTAATGTGTTGCTGAGGTTATGGTATAGAATAGAATGTTCAACTGCCTGTGACCAAAGTGGATCCTCAAGTTTAGTGGCTATGGTCTCAGCCTGACCATCAGTAACTCACAGAGATCCACAAACTCACAAAGACTCACTGACTCACATAATGACCCACACACTCTTACAGAGACCAAGGGACTCGCACACAAGCACACAAACAAACACAGAGGCACATAATGACTCAGAGACGCATAGGCTTGCAGAGAGACCAAGGGACTCATACGGACTTTGTTATTAAACCAGGTTCTCAAGTGTAAGCAGCTAATAGTCTCGTTTCACTTGTTGAAGTGATGTTATGCGTGGTGGTTGTGAGGGTTCAGTTCTTAAGTTTACTGTTGTGGTTAAGTTGTCCTGTTGATCTAAAGTTGGAGTCTATGATCAGAAATTAACTCAATATTTTTAACGTTTTTATTTCATATTCTATTTGTTGAATGAAAACTACTAGAGATATTCGATGTGCAGGATGCACATGGATGACACGTCCGTTCCTCATGTGTTTGATTGCTTGGACTTCAACACAAACTCATAGTGAACAAATTGAGTGAACAAAATTCATAAGGAAGTCAATGGGGAATTATAATTATTTGACGGTGATATATTGGTTGATTTAATATATGTTTTACTGTTGAATTATTGGAAGTGATATGGTTTGCCTCGTACCTTAACTGTTTTAAAAAGTGAAATAATAAGATATCGATACCAATGCACGCCATGAATGAGGGTCACAGCAGATCGTGGATCCATTGTATTTCTAGCAGGTATCGGTATTTATTTAATATTTGATTTGTCTAGTGTATGATTAATTATGTGAACACAATGACAGAAGGAAAATGTATTGTCTAGATTCTTAGATATCTCCCATGTAATGGATGGATTTAATACACTGTTCAACCTCATACACAAAGACAGATTTCAATATAAACAAGCCTCTTGTTTACAAAAAAAATCAGAGCACAGTTCGGTGCAATGCCTTTCTTTATCCAGTAGGCACAAATGCATTGTAATTTTCCTCCAAAATATATTCTGCAACTCTCACATTAAGTTTCATTAATAGCACTTGCCGTACCTGTCGGCTCTATATCATTCAACACCTGGAAAACATTTCATTGGTTTTGAGAATTTCCACTGGTTCACTACAATACCTTCTCCACTGCTCTACCACTACACATTCTCCACTGCTGTTCGACTATACCCACTCCACTGCTGTACCACTACACCTTCTCTACTGCTGTACCAGTACACCTTCTCTACTGCTGTACCACTACACCTTCTCTACTGTTGTACCACTACACCTTCTCTACTGCTGTACCACTACACCTTCTCCACTGCTGTACCACTACACGTTCTCTACTGCTGTACCACTACACCTTCTCCAATGCTGTACCAGTACACCTTCTCCACTGCTGTACCAGTACACCTTATCTACTGCTGTACCACTACACCTTCTCCACTGCTGTACCACTACACCTTCTCTACTGCTGTACCACTACACCTTCTCTACTGCTGTACCACTACACCTTCTCTACTGCTGTACTACTACACCTTCTCCAATGCTGTACCAGTACACCTTCTCTACTGTTGTACCACTACACCTTCTCCACTGCTGTACCACTACACCTTCTCCACTGCTGTACCACTACACCTTCTCTACTGCTGTACTACTACACCTTCTCCAATGCTGTACCAGTACACCTTCTCTACTGCTGTACCACTTCACCTTCTCCACTGCTGTACCACTACACCTTCTCCACTGCTGTACCACTACACCTTCTACACTGCTGTACTACTACACCTTCTCCAATGCTGTACCAGTACACCTTCTCTACTGTTGTACCACTACACCTTCTCCACTGCTGTACCACTACACCTTCTCCACTGCTGTACCACTACACCTTCTACACTGCTGTACTACTACACCTTCTCTACTGCTGTACCAACCACACCTTCTCTACTGCTGTACCACTACACCTTCTCTACTGCTGTACCACTACACCTTCTCCACTGCGGTACCACGAAACCTTCTCTACTGCTGTACCACTACACCTTCTCTACTGTTGTACCACTACACCTTCTCTACTGCTGTACTACTACACCTTCTCCAATGCTGTACCAGTACACCTTCTCTACTGTTGTACCACTACACCTTCTCCAATGCTGTACCACTACACCTTCTCTACTGCTGTACCACTACACCTTCTCCAATGCTGTACCACTACACCTTCTACACCAGGGGTCGGGAACCTTTTTGACTAAGAGAGCCATGAAAGCAAAAAATTTGGAAATTTATTTCAGTGAGAGCCATATAATATATTTTAAAAGTGAATTCAACTAAATGTCAGTATAATAAGCCTCTGAATTTATTCTTTTAAATAATGTTGTTATAACACTCACCATTAATGCGACTTCTGGTGCTGCATGGATTTGCTGATGTCTTTGTAGTCGGGTTGGTACTTGGTGAGGTTAAGCTTCATGCAAGCGTTGAGGCTTTCATCCGTTAAACGTGATCGTAGGTTGGACTTGATGTTTTTAAGATGTGAGAGTGACTGCTCACATGCATACGTAGATCCAAACATGGTCAATACAGCAATACTCACACGCTGCAGTGTGTGGTATGTGACAGGAAGCGCGTTCCAAGTTTTGAGAATCAGCTGGTCTTCGGGTTGGAGTTTTTTCATTTCTGTCCACATGTGCTTGCTCGCCAACTCCGCTTTCTGTCGTGTGATTCTTTCCAAATCTTCATTCAGTGACTTGAACTTATTCACCCACATGTCTGAGGCCTTCAGGTCAGCCACTTCTGCTTCAAAATCTCTGACGGAGACACCAGGGATGTAATTCAGGTCGGCTGTGTTCAGTGAACACTCGTTTGGATGGGTGATGAACTTAAAAAGACGAGTGTGCTCACGAAATTCTCCAAAGCGTGCTTTGAAGGACTGTAGGAGACTGGATGTGCAGCCAGCTAGCTGGTGGAGATCAAGGTTTTGAATGGGCTCACTTGCTGTGCATGCATCTTTAAATTGGCTCAGTTTTTCAAAATGTAGTAAACGACCTGTTTCAAGATCCGTGATGAAAAGCTCCAGCTTGTTTTCAAAAGCAAATACAGCTTGTTGAAGGGATGACACTGTATTTCCAATGCCTTGCATTTTCACGTTGAGCTGGTTCAGATGTTCAGTCAGATCTACGAGATAGTAAAACTTGAGGAGCCACTCGGTGTCGGCTAGCTCAGGATGCCCGACGCCTTTCATTTCAAGGAAAGTCCGGATTTCGTTCAGGCAAGCCGCAAAACGGCTAAGCACCTTCCCTCTTGACAACCAACGCATATTGCTGTGCAAAAGCAGACCAGGATAGTTATTTACAACTTCATCCAGCAGTGTTTTAAACTGGCGATCATTTAAGGCTCGGGCAACAATAAAGTTGATCACACGAATGACCAGCGACATCACTTCGCCAAACTGCCTGTCACACATCTGAGCACAAAGTGCCTCCTGGTGTATAATGCAATGGAAACTTAGGATGGGTCTATTTTCATGTTCACGGAGAAGCGCCACAAATCCTTTGTTTTTCCCCACCATACACGGAGCACCATCAGTACACACTGAGAGAAGTTTATCCATAGGTAGACTTTTTTCTTGAGCAAACTCCATGAAAGACTTGAATAAATCCTCACCTCTTGTGGACCCTTTTAATGGCAGAACAGCAAGACTTTCTTCGCGCAGTGTGTCACCAACAGCATATCTTGCAATCACGCTGAACTGCGACAAATGGCTCACGTCTGTTGACTCATCCAAAGCCAGAGAAAAGAACGGCGCTGCATTTATGTCCTTCACTTGCGTTTCCTCCACTTTGTTTGCCATCACGATGGTACGATCATGAACAGTTCTTGCCGACAGAGGCATGTCTTGTATCCGTTTGATTATCTTGTCTTTGTTCGAAAGATCATCAAAAAGTTCATTGGCTACATCCAGCATGAACGTTTTAGCATACTCGCCACCTGTGAATGGTTTTCCGTTCCTCACTATTGCTAAAGAACCAGCAAAGCTAGCCGAATTATAGTCACCTTGCCGGGTCCATACGCGGAGTTGCTGCTGGCTAGCTTGCACCCTGCTCAGAAGCTCTTGGCACGCTTTCTTTCTGCTGTCTCCCGCAGGGTATTTTGATGCAAAGGTAGCGTGGCGCGTGTCGAAGTTCCGCTTTACATTCGACCGTTTCAACGATGTAATTTTGTCATTGCAAATTAGACACACCGCAGAACCTGCTCTCTCCACAAAGGCGAATTCTTCGGTCCATTCGTCCTGAAATGTACGATACTCGACGTCTTTTTTTCTTTTCGCCATCTTCTTCGTCGAAGGGTTAGCTTTGAGCTAATGACCGAGCAGACGCAGTCTCAGACTGATTCAAAAGGGGGTGTTTACCTGTTTTACCCAGCAACGGCAAACGTAGGCCAGTATCATCCAATTAAAATAATGGACAATTGCTCCTGCAGCCCTGAACAGGACATGCGCAGTGAAAAATCGATGGATGGATTAAAACAAGTGAGAATATTTTGTTTTATCTGCGAGCCATATGCAATCATCAAAAGAGCCACATCTGGCTCGCGAGCCATAGGTTCCCGACCCCTGCACTACACCTTCTCCACTGCTGTACTACTACACCTTCTCTACTCCTGTACCACTACACCTTCTCTACTCCTGTACCACTACACCTTCTCTACTCCTGTACCACTACACCTTCTCTACTGCTGTACCACTACACCTTCTCTACTGCTGTACTACTACACCTTCTCTACTGCTGTACCACTACACCTTCTCTACTGCTGTACCACTACACCTTTTCTACTGCTGTACCACTACACCTTCTCTACTGCTGTACCACTACACCTTCTCTACTGCTGTACCACTACACCTTCTCTACT